AGTCTTCTATATCCTTCTGCAGTTGGCCCTAAGTTCTGATTGGCAGGGTGAGGCAAACACTTGGGACAGAATTAAGGTGGGAGGCACCAAAATGGAAGCCTAGGGGCCCTGCCCTCGCCCTCCTTCCAGGATTGCTGTTCCTAGTTAAATACTTAACAAGTTGTTTCAAACTTCATAGTTATCATAGATTGCTCCAGCTCCCTCATATTCATTTTTTAAATGTATGCTGTTTTCCTAAATGGTTCCTTGACATATCCCTCATCAGTCTCAGTCTTTCTTACTGTGCCCGGATCTTTGCTTCTAAGGAGGACAGCTTTTTTGCCAAATGACCTTGTTGGCTGTCTGGTGACACCTGTGGACCCCTTCAAACATAATTAAAAACTAACTGTGGGTGGGGGGAGTGGAGGGGGATGGGTGGAGGGAGGGTGATTTAAGGGATCACCTCTATGGTTTATCTTACAAGGGTACAAGTGAATCTTTCTAAAAATAGAATATAAACGTCTTAACACAATAACTAAAGCTCACAGTAACTTCCAACTCCTGGGCTCAAGCCAGTCTCCTGCCTCCGCCTCCCAAGTAGCTGGGACTACAGGCACCCACCACAATGCCCGGCTATTTTTTGGTTGCAGCCGTCATTGTCATTTGGTGGGCCTGGGCTGGATTCGAACCTGCCAGCTCAGGTGTATGTGGCTGGCACGTTAGCTGCTTGAGCCACAGGCACCGAACCTGATTTTACACTTTTAATGAATGAATTTTATGGTATGTTAATTAAATTTCAATAAAAGCAGGTTCGTATGTATAGTCAAAAATTTTCAAGCCAAAGTCTGTGTTCTGTGGTTTGACCTTTGGTTTAATTCATTCATCATCTTGGCCTAGTTCCTCTAAATAGTTACCTCACTAAATGGTTGTGCTTATGCTAAGGAGCCACCTAAGGTTTGAGGATTCCTTTCTCACAGTACCTTCATTGCTGAAAGAAGCTCCTATTCCTGAATTACTGATATCAGCTAATGGCATTTATGTCAGGTTGTTGGTTTTCAAAGGAGCTGTCTGTCTTCTAAAATGTCAGGGTTTAAGGCAGCTACTTGGGTCCCTGCTTCTTTGAGTGTTCTTGGTCTTAAAATGACCAGAAATCCCAAAGTAAGGCAAGTATGGAACAAAGCTTTTTGAGCAAGAGAAAGATAGGCTTATAGAGTAAGGAAGTTTACAAAGAAGGATGCCTTCCCTGTAGGTAGCGAATGGGCCTCCATTGCTAAGACAAGTAGACAAAGAGGCAAAGAGGCAAGGGTTATGGCTGGTAGTTCTCTTTTATACCACCTGAGTCAGGTCTACCTTGGGGTTCAGAGGTCACCTTGGAATTGGAGTCTTCTCACTAAGGGGACATCATGAGCCTCTCTGAGAACCAATGGGGGAGGTGGACCATATGATAATCTTAAGGCTGTTTTAGGTCACCTTCAAGACTCTATTGCAGTGGTTCTCAACCTTCCTACTGCCTCAACCCTTTAATACAGTTAAAGTCCTTTAGAACATTTTCATTTTATTCAA